TTATTATTCTTCTTCCTCCTCCTCCTCCTCCTCCTCCTCCTCTCTTCCTCTCCTCCTCATCATCCTCCTCCTCCGCCTCCTCCTCCTCCTCCTTTCGGTGCCTGCACGCCCTTCTCTCCTGCACCGTTGTCCTCGTCCTTTCACCTCGCTCCCCCTCGCCCTCTCGTCGTCTCCCCCTGCACACAGCAGCAAGCCTCGCCCCCTCCCACGGTGGATCATCAGCGAGCGAAGAACGCTATACCATTACCCTGTGACGTATCCAACCCATTTGTATCCATGGAAACGAGGAGTTGGCCGAAACTTGCATGGACAATCAATTTGATGTGTAAGCTACTTGGGACACGCGCCTATGGCATGATGCGCAGGAGAACCATACAAGAACGAGGGGCGACAACTACAGGTTCGAAGAGGACATGGGGAGTCGGGAACGCAGAGCAGGAGAAAAACGTGCGGGACGCCGAGCCATCAGCACGGCAGCAGCAGAGGGAAGGTGATTGCAGGAGGAGAACAAGGACGAAAGCGGCGTCTAATTTGAGTCTGCGGTGGGTGCCCACTGTGCTGTGCCCCTCAGCAGCCCTCGAAAGTGGCGACAGCTTCACAGATCGCAGCCCCCCCAGGGATGGCGAGGTCCAATGTGAGTCTGCGGTGGGTACCCGCTGTGCTGTGCCCCTCAGCAGGCCTCGAACGTGGCGACAGTTTCACAGGTCGCAGCCCCCCAGGGATGGCGAGGTCTAAGTTGAGTCTGCGGTGGGTACGCACTGTGCTGGGCCCCCAGCAGGCCTCGAACGTGGCGACAGCTTCACAGATCGCAGCCCCCCAGGGACGGCGAGGTTTAATTTGAGCCCGCGGTGTGTACCCACTGTGTTGGGCCCCTCAGCAGGCTTCGAACGTGGCGACAGTTTCACAGATCGCAGCCCCCCAGGGATGGCGAGGTCTAATTTGAATCTGCGGTGAGTGCCCACTGTGCTGGGCCCCCCAGCAGGACTCGAAAGTGGCGACAGTTTCACAGATCGCAGCCCCCCAGGGATGGCGATGTCTAATTTGAGCCCGCGGTGGGTACCCACTGTGCTGGACCCCCCAGCAGGCCTCGAAAGTGGCGACAGCTTCACAGATCGCAGCCCCCCAGGGATGGCGAGGTCTAATTTGAGTCCGCGGTGAGTGCCCACTGTGCTCGGCCCCCCAGCAGGCCTCGAACGTGGCGACAGTTTCACAGATCGCAGCCCCTCAGGGATGGCGACGTCTAATTTGAATCCGCGGTGAGTGCCCACTGCGCTGGCCCCCCCCCCCAGCAGGCCTCGAACGTGGCGACAGTTTCACAGATCGCAGCCCCCCCAGGGATGGCGAGGTCTATTTTGAATCTGCCCGTTGCGTCACTGTGCTGCCCCCCCCCCAGCAGGCCTCGAAAGTGGCGACAGTTTCACAGATCGCAGCCCCCCAAGGAATTGCGATGTCTAATTTGAGTCGCGGTTTGTAATCCAACTGTGCTGGACCCCGTAGGATTTCCCCGACGGTCGAACAAGGTTTTCACAGATCGCAACCCCCCAGGGAATGGCGAGGGTCTGGTTTGAGTCCGCGGTGTGTACCCCTGTGCTGCCCCCCCCCCCCAGCAGGCCTCGAAAGTGGCGACACTTTCACAGATCGCAGCCCCCCAGGGATGGCGAGGTCTAATTTGAGTCCGCGGTGTGTATTCACTGCGCTGGGCCCCCCAGCAGCCCTCGAAAGTGGCGACAATTTCACAGATCGCAGCCCCCCAGCTGGCACGCAGCGACGAGCGAGGTAAAAGGCAGGGGGGAAGAGAGGGGCGGGAAGGAAGAAAGAAAGGAGACGCGCGAACAATGCTCTATTCAAAACGAGAACACGCAGGAGGGTTTGGAATACACTTTTTTGCTGTCGGGGGCGCCTGTCCCTGGGCGGTTGGAAAGTTTATACCCCTACGGTGCCACCGTAAGGGTATAAATTTTCCAGCCGCCCTGGGACAGGCGCCCCCGACAGCGAAGCAGTGTATATTATACCGTTCTTCGCCCGTTAAGATCAGGGGTGACAGGGGGGGACTTCCACGACACCAGCCCCAAAGAACGCCCCCGACCCCAGGCAGGGCCCCAGCAAGCTCTTCGCACCGTTCCCCTTGCTTCTCCCCCTTCTCCCCTCTTGCCTCTTGGAGCCAGCCTCTCTCTGATGTCTCTCTCCTTCTCCTTCTTCTCGCCTTCATTCTACGTCGGTTCTGCGTACTCGCCCTCTCCTGCCCTTCCTTCCACACCAGCAAGTCTCCGCCCCGCCCTACGGCCGATCAGGGGTGACAGGGGCGCCCCACAGAAAAATCCAGACCCCAGACCCCACAGAGGCCCAAGACCACTCCTAGATGCCCCACAACCCCTGTAGAGAGCCCGATAGTTGCTAAGGAGCTCCTGCGATAGCTTCCAGACTGGGCACCCTTCGCCGTTTCTGGACACCCGAAGCCCCAAAAGACAACCCCGAACCACACAACGCCCCAGAAAGCCCCTCTCCCAGTTGTCCTTCCTCCTCCTTCTCCTCCACCTCCTCCTCCTTATCCCCCTCCTCCTCCTCCTTCTTCTCCTTCTCCTTCTCCTTCTCCTTCTCCTTCTCCTTCTCCTTCTCCTTCTCCTTCTCCTTCTCCTTCTCCTTCTCCTTCTCCTTCTCTTCTTCCTCCCCATACACCTCCATTCCTTTTCCTCATAGATAGCCCTTCCCTGTC